ACCATTAAAGAAATTGATTTGCAATTTAAAAGTTCCTGAAAAAAATATCGAGGGCCAGAGGTTTCATTTGAGACTTCTGCCAAACATTTAATGAATTAACACCAATTTTACATAATTTACTTTACAAAACATAAGAGAAGGGAATAATTCCTAGATCATTTTTGGAGGCCAGAATTATCTGGATGTCAAAACCAAAAATAGAATTTAAAAAGATAGAAAACAAAACTACAGACCAATCTCTCTCATGAACTTAATGAGCTTAGATACAAAAATCCTGAAAGAAAATACTAGAAACTGAATTTAAAAATGTATAAAAAAATTACACACCATGACCAAGTGGTTTTTATTCCACATATGCAAGACTGGGTCAACATTTGAAAATCAATCAATGTAATTCATCATACCATCAAGCTAAAGAAGAAAAATCTTAAAATATCGTATCAATTCAAGCAGAAAAAAACATTTAACACAAATATGTCCAGTTGATTTTTGAGGAAGGTGAAGAAGCAATTCAATGGAGGAAGATAACCTTTCAACAAATCGTGGAATAATTGGACATCCCCAGGGAGAAAAAAAGAACAATTTAAAATTCACACCTTATATAAAAATTAACTCAAAAATGGATCCTGAGCTTAAAATGTGAAATGTAAAACTAATAGTTTTAGGAAAAAAATAGACAATCTTTGGGATATACAGTTAGGCAAATGGCTCTTACATTTGACAGTAAAAGAATAATCCATTAGGGGGAAAAAGTGGTAAATTAGACCTCATCAACTAAAACTTTTGTGTGGCGAAATATCCTGTTGAAAAGTGAAAAGACACATTACAGAGTTAGACAAAACATCTATAAACCACATATCTAATAAAGAACTGGTATCAAGAATATATAAAACTCTTAAAACGTAATAGTAAAAAAAACAAATTCAAGTAGAAAAAGGACAAAAGGCATGAACAGACATGTCACCAAAAAGGATATGCTGATGACAAACACATAAAAAGATGTTCAACATCTTAAGTCATCGGAGAAATGTAAATTAAAACTACAACGAGATACCACTTTGTATCTATCAAAAAGGCTAAAATAAAAATAGTGACAACACCAAATCCTGGTGAGAATGTGGAAAAGCTGGATTCCCTCATACATTGCTGTTGGGAATGTAAAATGGCACAGTCATTCTGGAGAAGAACTTGGCAGCTTCTTAACAAAATAAATATGCACCCACTATCCCACCCAGCAACTATACACACGGCCATTTATCCCAGAGAAATGAGACTACGTTTACAAAAAATCTGTACACAAATGTTCATAGCAGCTTTATTCGTAATCGTCCAAAACTGAAAGTGACCTAGATGTCCATCAATAGCTCAATAGGTAAGCAAACAATGATACATCCACAACACCATGGAATACTACTGATAAATGAAAAAGGACAAACTACTGATGGATGTGACAACTTTATCTCAAAGAATTATGCCTAGTGAAAGAAAAACTAATGTCCAAAAACTGCATACTGTATGATTCAATTTGCATAACATTTCTGAATCTGTCAAGATTATAGAAACGGAAGACAGATTAACTATTTCCCAGGGTCAGGGAAAGGAGGGGAGGGTAGTGAGTGTGGATATAAAGGGGCAACAGGAGGGATCCTTGTGGTGATGGAACTGTTCTATATCTTGACTATATCAGTGTCAATATCCTGCATGTGATATTGTACTAGAGTTTTGCAAGATGTCATTATTTGGGGAAACTAGGTGAAAAGACACACAGACTTTTTTGTATTATTTCTTAGAGGCACATGTGAATCTACAATTATCTCAAAATAAAAAAGTCTAATAAAAAAACAAGGACAATTAGACAGGAACATGGAATAGACTGAAAGAATACAGCTTTAGAGCTCGTGTGCCTGAATTTTAATCCTGGCTCAACCATTACTAAGTGTGTAACTGGGGGCAGATAATAAAATCTCTATGTGCTCCAGTTTTCTCACTCATAAAATAGAAACAAAAATAGTGCCTATTCCATAGGGTTACTGTGAGGATTAAATGATATGATATTTGTAAAGCATTATCAAATTGCTAAACATAGTAATTATACAATAAATATTAGCTATTATTAGTAATGGTGATTTTTTTTATAAAAATGGTATTCAAAAGACAAAAGTATCCTGTTAGTTATTCAACTTCCTAAGCTACAAAAATCCTTTCTCTAACTGCTCTTTCAACTCTGAGTCATTTATCAAATTTTCAAATACTATTCTAAAACTATACCAGCAAATTATACCTGTACATGATAAATAAAATGAAACTCAGATGAATTTTCAAATAAATAGGCTTACTTAACAGTCGATGTAAAAGGTGTAGAAGCATACCTGACTGAAACAGTGTTATTAATCCCAGATGATATCAGTGATTGTAGATCGAAGGAAAGTCCATGGGTGGCTGAGGTTCTGCCGGCAAAGGTGGTGGTAACAGTGATGGTGGTGATCGTTGATATTTGAGCTGGAAAATAAACTGTGCAACATCGGTAAGAAATTAGAAACTTTTTATTTAGTCCTGATCATTCAGGATAAAAACCATGTAAGTATTTTTTTAATGTGAGTTTGCACTCAAAGTCGTATGGATTTGAACTCAATGTTGTTGTAATATGAAGCAATATATGGCAGGCCAGGTATCTGGATTAACCTTCCTGCTGAAAACTGAAACTCCTGGATAAATTCAAAGAAAAAGAAAATTTACAACCTAACCAGCCTTATGACCATTAAAGAAATTGA